GTGTCCAACTACAACTAAAAAATAAAATATTTAAAAAAGTTGCTGCATAATTTTATGTTTCCACCAGCTATGAACAAAGGTCTCAATTTCCCTATATCCTTGCCAATACTTACTTTCTATCTATTTCTCTTTAATTTAGCTATGCCTAGTAGATATGCAATAGTATCTCATTTGGTTGTATTTTGCATTTCATTAATAATTAATAATGCTAGGCATCTTTCCATATGTTAATTGGCCATTTGTATATCTCCTTTGAAGATATATCTATTGAAGATCTTTGCCCATTTTTTTGGTACTAGGTTGCCTTTTCATTGTTGGGCTGTATGAATTCTTTATATAATCTGGATTTAAAACCATTATCAGATGAATTATTTGCAAATATATTCTTACATTCCCTTCAGTTGTCTTTTCACTTTCTTCTTCTTTCTTTTTGGTACTGGGGACTGAACCCAAGGACGCTTGACCACAGAGCCTCATCCTCAGGCCTTTTTATATTTTATTTAGAGACAGGGCCTTGCTAAGTTGCTTTGGGCTTCACTAAATTGCTGGGGCTGGCTGTGAACTTGTGATCCTCCTGCCTCAGCCTCTCGACCACTGGGATTACAGGCATGTGCCACTATACCAGGCTGTCTTTTCACTTTCTTGAAAACGTCCTTTAATGTAATGCACATAAAACTTTATTTTGATAAAGTCCGATTTATTTTTTATTCTGATGCTTATATTTTCAGTGTCCCTTCTAAGAACCCATTGCCAAATCTAAGTTCTTCTAAGAGTTTTATTGTTACAGCTCTAACATTAAGGTTGTTGATTCATTTTTAGTTAATTTTTGTATATAACGTTAGGAAGGCATTCAACATCATTGTTTTGCATGTTGGATATGTAGTCATCCCAATATAACTGTTGAGACTATTTTTCCCCCACTGAACAGACTTTGTAATTGCAAAATGCAATTCACCATTAATTCATGCATTTATTTCAGGACTCATAACTATATGCTATTGGTCTGAGAGCACCACCCTGGGTTACTTTGACTTTGTAATGAGTAGTCAAATCAAAATGTGTGAATTCCTTCACCTTTATCTTCCTTCTTTAAGACTTTTTGGATGTTCAGCTCYTTTGAAAGTCCAAATAAATTTGAAAATGTGTGCAAAAAGGCTATTGTAATTTTGACAGGAATTAAGTTGAAGCTGTACATCATGTTGGGTAGTATTCTCATTTTAACAATATCAAGTCCTCCTACACATAAACATGGGACGGTGTCTTTCCATTTATTTAGGTTTTCTTTAATTCCTTAATACAATGTTTTATCATTTTCAATGTATAAGTTTTTAACTAGCTTGTTTAAACTCACTTCATTGCATTTTATTCTTTTAGATGCTATTGTAAATGACACTGCTATTTTAAATTCCTGTGCAAATTGTTCACTGCTGGCTTATAGGAAAACAACTGATTTTTGTGTGTTATCCTTGTTTGTATGTTGCAACTTTGGTAAATTTACTTATAAACTCTATTATGTTTCTTCTTTATTCCTTGGGATTTTCTACATGTAGGACTGTATCACCTTTGAATGTGGATCATTTTAGTTCTTCCTTTGTAATTTGGAGGCCTTTTATTTCTTTTACTTGTGTAATTGCTCTGGCTAGAATCTCCAGTAAAGTTGAACAGCCTGGCGAAATGGGCATCCTTGCCTCATTCCTGATCTTAAGGGGCAAACTTTCATTCTTTTACCATTGAATATAATATTCTGTGGGGTTTTTAAAAATGCCTTTTATTCTACTGAGTATGTTCTCTTCTATCCCTATTTTTCTGATAATTTTTATCATAAAAGAATGTTGGGACGCTGGGGTTATAGCTCAGCAGTAAAGTACTTGCCTTGCACATGGGAGGCACTAGGTTCGATCCTCAGCACCACATAAAAATAAATAAAATAAATAAAGATATGGTGTCCATCTTAAAAATAAATCTTTAAAAAAAAGAATGTTGGATTGTTGAAATGACATTCATGTATCCATTCAGACAATCATCTTCTTTTTTTTTCCTTTTGGTTCTATTAATGTATTACATTTATTGATTTTATGTTGGAACACCCTTGCATTCCTGAAATACTCTGCTTGGTATACAACCCTTATAATATACCTTTGGATTCAATATACTAGTAATTTATTGAGGATTTACACATCTATGGCCATAAGAAATGTTGATGTATAATTTTCTTTTCCTGATTTTTTTTTTTCTGACTTTGGTATTCAGGGTAATGCTGAGCTCACAGAATGTGTTAGGGTGCGTTTCTTCCTGTTCGAATTTTGGAAGAATTTGAGAAAGATTTGTATTAACTCTCCCTTAAATTTTTGGTTCCAATTTACCAGTAGAGCAGACTGATTCTGGACATCTTTGTTAAAGGTTTCTGAATATTAATTCAATCTCTTTATTTATAGGTCTGTTGAGATATTCTTTTTTGGTACTGGGGACTGAACCCAGTGGCTCTTTACTACTTAGCAACATTCCCAGCCATATATGATTTTCTATTTCATCTTGAGTTAGGTTATTTGTGTCCTTCTAGGAATTTGTTCATTTCATCTAGTTTGCCTACTTTGTTGGCATACATTTGTTCACAGTATTCTCTCTTAATTCTTTTACTTTGTAGTGGTTAGTAATAAAGTGCTCACTTGTTGATTTGCATATTCATTTCCTCTCTCCCTCTCTCCAGTCTTCTAAAGATTTGTCAATTTTGCTGATCTTCTTTAAAAACTTTTGGTTTCCTTGCTTCTATCATTCTTCTAATCTCTAATTATTTATCTCTGCCCTATTCTTTTCTATTTCTTTGCTTCTTCATCTTTGGGTTTATTTTGCCCTTCTTTTTATACATCCTTAAAGTATAAAGTTACTGATGTGAGGTCTTTCCCCCTTTTTAATATATGCATTTATAGCTGTAAATTTCCCTTTAAATACTGGCTTTACTGAACCCGACAAATTCTGATATGTTGTGTGTTTCATTTTCATTCATTTAGGTATTTTGTAAATTCCCTATGATTTGTTCTTTAACCCAGGAGCTGTTTGAGTGTTTAATGTCCACATCTTTGAATATTCCATTTTTCTGTTATTAATTTCTAGCACCATTTCATTGTGGCTGGAGAAGATACTTTGTATAATTTTAGTCTTTTTACATTAATTGAGACTGCTTTGTGGTATAACATAAATATCCTGGAATTTGGGAAATTCATTTGCAAAGAATGTGTATTCTACTGATATTGGATGAAAGTTTCTACAAATATTTGGTAAGCCTAATTAGTTTTAGTGCTGAACAAGATCTCAATTTCCTATTGATATGTCTCTATGTTCTATCGAATATACTGAAGTCTCTCTCTTTTAAAAAGTATTTTTGTTTACTTGTTGATGGACCTTTATTTTATTAATTTATTTATATGCAGTGCTGAGAACCAAACCCAGTGTTCCACACATGCGAGGCAAGTGCTCTACCACCGAGCCACAACTCCAGCCCTGAAGTCTTTCTTATTGTAGATCTATTTCTCTCTTTAAGTCTGTTGAAAATTACTCTAATGGACTAAAAATTCCTACAATCCTCAAAGAGCCAAAATGTGCTTTTAAATTATATTTGTATATCTTTTAACCAAGAAATTCCACTTTCAAAAAATATTCTAAGGAAATTACACTGTGGTCATAATCATTGCATTTACTGGGCCTTTAATATGTGCTAGGACCTGGTCTGCATTCTTTATATGCATTATTTATTAGGCAGTTTTAATAAACAATGCAATAATGACAAGTAGACAAATATATGTGATTTTTTTTAGTTRTCAATGGACCTTCATTTTATTTATTTATATGTGGTGCTTAGAACTGAACCCAGTGCCTCATATATGCTAGGCAAGCACTCTACCACTGAGCCACAACCCCAGCCCTTAGAGTTTATATTTTTATTTAACCCAGAGGAGGAATTTTACCTGCAACCACTGATATTCAATCACCAGAGAAAAAGTTCTGACCATTTTTATGATTTAATACACTTATTAAACAAGTATTAAATATTTGGCTCTGCACTAGGGCAGGTTAATAATCTACCTATGTTTTCAATAAGTTAGGTCACAGTCTAGGTGAGGAGACAGGTTTGTGAATGTCATTAATAAGAACTATGTTACAGTTATTTATAGAATTCTAAACAACATTGAAGGAGTACTTAGACTTCCTGAGATAACATTCACTTTGATTCTAATATTTTCATTGATATATGTAATACTATTATTATATATTAATCATGATTGAGCACTTATGTGTCAGCTTACAAATGTATATATGTACTCCTGAAATAACACAGGATTTTAAAGATGAGAAAATTAAAGCATGAAGAGATTAAATGTTTTGTTTGGTGTTATACAGCTAGTAACTGGTAAATTAGAGGTTAAACCTAGGTAATCCAACTCAAGAGATGGCACAGGATTTCTCTTAAAAAGTAACTGCTGAGATGTGTTAGCCTGTCTCTACTATCATCTCATTCCAACTAACCCAAATTCTGCAAAGTTGTCTGAGCCTCTCCTGAGTCATTTATAAGACAGATAGGAGTCTAGATATCTTACCACAACTCTAATACAGATTACCAGTACATCTTATTCAGGTAGGCAGTACTCAAAAAATATTTTAACTCCTTCCTAATAGATTCCTATTCTCCACTAAACGTGACCTTCCCTTTTTTTCAGCCTTAGGAAATCTGTATCATCTTCCCTGTGGTAAGAATGAGAATTAAAATGGTGTGAAAAATACTTTGTGTACAATCAGTGTCCTGAAAAATTGTGCTTTATATGGGTAATATGAAATAAACTGCATTCTGCCACTATGTATAACAAATTAGAATAAAAAAAATAAAAATGAAAATTAAGAACAATAGGTGTAAGGGTAATTTCCATTTTACACTGCAGAGGGTACAGAAACTAACACTCTTATCAACCCTAAAGAAAAACATATTAATTAGGGAAAGCAAAAGATACCTTCAGTCCTTCCAATTCATTCTCCAGTTGTTTAGAGTAGTGCTCGCTCTGCTCCCGCAGTTTCCTGTCTTTAGATGCTTCAGCAACTAGAGCGTCAGTATGAACTTCCAGCTTTAAAATAGAGTGAAAAGAGCAGATTTTGCGGTTATTACTTTTTTCAAACAAAATATTTTCCCCCAAGGGAATTTATCTTATAATAGGAAAAGGTAATTCAAATGTTGACTTCACATAAAATGATATTATCAAACTATAAAATAACTTTTTTTCAAAAATTAAAAAATGAAATATGTATTATTTCACTAGTCTCAAAAAGCAGCTTTAATTACTATCCCATGGCACTATGAAATTTGCCTGACTACTAACCTCTTTTTTGGCTCTTTCTGTTCTGCGCAGCTCTTGCCTTAAGCTTTCAACTTTTTGCATCACCAGGTCCACCTCTTCTTCCTTATCTCGGACATGGCGAGCAAGTTTCTGTTTTTGGGTGTGCAATTCTGTTAGCCGCTCATTGATCTCCATAAATTCCTGCATGGCCAGTTTCCTCTGACAGTGTGCGTCTTTCAGCTCTTTGGATTGGTTTTTTAATCGCTCACTAGCCTGGACTAGTTCCTACAGTTTTGTAAAAAAAATATAAGTTACCAATTCTGCCACCTAGAAACCAAATTTGGCCATCAAAGTAGCTATTATTAAGTCAAGAAGAGCCAAAATTATTTACCTCAGGAAAAAAATTAAAGGAAATGAACTACTTTTGAGCAGATACTAAGGGGCATGGTACCCTGTTTAAAGTCTCAACTTATTATGCCATTGAAATGCAAGGGAGCAGCTGATTTAAACTTGGTTTCTACAACTGAGTGGAACATACAGGCATATGAAATATGATGATCAAAATAAAGATTTAGTGAAATTTAATAAACAGGTGTGTTTTCTAAAAAAGTATATTGAATGTTTGCAAATGATTAAAAAAAAAAAAAGGTTGCCTAAAGGATTAAAAATACGAAGACGAAGCCGTGGACCAGTAACAAGGAGAAAAAAACTAAAACTGAGATTCTCTGAATTAGAGGGGCTAAAGTGGACTCAGATATGTACTACTGCCTGCCTCCTAGCAAAAGGAAAAGCACATCTATAGAGAAAAGAATCTCAAAGAAATTTAGGCTTCTCACACATTAAGACAATAAAATCTGAGTTCATAACTACAGATTTCCAAAAAACACAACCATCATAACCAAACATAAATGGAACATAAACAATAAGAATAAATACCATAGGTATATGGGTATTAAGAGTCATCAGATATCAACATAAAGTTGCTATGCTATGTAGAAAACATAAAATGCCTGAAGAAATAAAAAATGAAATTATAGAAATGGGAAAATGACAAAAGACTATTAAAAACAACCAAGTAGATTTATAAAAGAACTTTATACAACATTTAGAAATGAAAAAAAGTGTTAAAATTAAACACATCCAGCTCTATATTTATGAATAAAGAAAAAGAAACTCAAACCCAGATAGGTAGATAGGTTCAAAATATGAATCTGAATAACACTAGAGAAAAAAGACTTTAAAAGAAACAGCAAAAATAAGAAAAATCACCTATTCCCCACTATAAAAAAAAGATGTATAAGTAACAACAGAAATAGGAACACTGATAAATATTTCCAAAGAGAAGACAAAAATAACTAAAATATATACTCAAAATAATTACTTTTCAAGTATAAGGTTTCATATGAATAAAAATTGTCAAAGCTTACCAAAATCAAATGTACACTAAGGAAACCTCTACTGGTTTATTTAAGGAGAAAGAAAAATGTTCTTAGAAGGAAAATTTAATGCAAGAGAAATGAAGGGCTAAGAAACTGGTAAACATGAATGTGAATATAAAGAAATGATATATGATTGCATTATAAAATGTCTAATGTGTACAGTAAAGGTTATAACCACTAAAATATTTGTCAAAAATAGCATATATATTGGGAAGATAAGAGAATTAAAAGCCTTTATATTATTTGAGGGGAGGAGTAGCTTAAGATTAAATTTAGACACTTAATATTTATGGTAAAATTAAAAACAACAACCAAAGACTAGAAAGAGTAGAAAAGTAAAATAAAAATAAGAAAACAAGAACATTAAGAAAAGATTTTGCAAAATTAAAAAATTCTGATGATTTGCTGCACAATATATGTATTTAACACTAGATAATGACAAATATATAAATATATTATGATGAACATTATATGTGCTTAAAAATTTTTTAAAAAGGGAAAAAAGACAAAAAAAGAAGCATAAAAAAGCATGACAAACAGAAAGGAAAAAATAAAAGTGGTAGAAACATACCTATGTACATCAATAATCAAAATAAATATAAAATGGGGCTGGGGATGTGGCTAAGTGGTAGAGTGCTGTCTAGCACACACAAGGCTCCAGGCACCACTAAGTAAATAAGTAAGTAAGTAARTAAATAAATAAATAGAYGAATAAATAAATAAATAAATAGCTAAGCTCACCAGTTAAAGGCAGTTTGCTATAACAGATTAAGAAATGAAATCTGCCTCTCAGCGTCACCAGTTGCTGTGTGTGTGCGGAGGACTGAGCTAGCTTGCAATAACACCTCTTTGCTGCTTACATCGATCTTGGTCTCTGATGGTCTTTTGGAGGTCCTGAATTCAAGCATAACATATGGGGGCTCATCCGGGATTCTCCTTATGAGCCTACCCAGTCACCCTGATCGAGAGGTGATGAAAACCCGGCTGGTAAGTAAAGGCATTGCCGATCTGTAATTTTCTGTACTCTGGTTGCCTGCAGGTTCTGGTTCTTTATTTTGTGGTCGGCAAAAGGTCCAGGTGGACGCACCGAAGAGCAGCAGATGGGGTTTGTGGGAGACGTCCCCAGCCCCTTCTGGGTTCTGAGTGGATTGCCTTTAATAAAGTATTTTGTAAAGTATTTAATAAAGTATTTTGCAGCTGATGGATCCTCCGTCCGCCTCTGCTTTTAGTTTCTGGGTAGCAATCCACAACGCGCTGTGAATTCTGTGGCCGCGCTGCAAATTTTGTTATGTGTGTTTGTTTCTATTGTCCTGTCCGCCTTCACTCCAACATCCTGGCAAGGGAATTAACCTCCCAATCTAGGGTTTTCAGACCCAATCTGAGGGGGATACTTCCCCAATCTATCTGTCTGAGGGGAAGGCCCCAGTTGGCTTGGGGCCAGCACCCGACTTCTGTTTTTGTCGACAATCTGAAAAGGGAATCTGTGTCTTTGTGTGTCTTTTTGTCTGTGTCTCTGTTCAGTGTGATGGCATTGTTTTACTTTAGACAGATACAGTGTCCCAAGTTCCAATCTGCCTTAGATGTGTGGAGGTAACTTTAGCTAAATTTTAGCCTGAAAATGTCCCTGGTATGCTTCTCCTGCTTCCCTGTAAGGGACCAAAAGTCAATAGAACCACCAGCTTTTCTGTTCTCACAGTTTATACCCATTTTAGCTGTGTTTTAATGAACTTTGATAAACTTTATTCCCCTTTGTTAAATGGGATTAGGGAAGCAATGTTTTCTTTTCTTCCTGTAGTTGGCTTAAATGCATCCACTGCAGTGGGAAATGCCTGCTGGGGATCTAAGAACTTTGATATCTCCCTTTTTCTTTTTCTCAAAACCCTGTCCTCATTATTAAATTGGCATTAATTGGTTTTGAGGACAGGAACTGAACTTTCAGTCACAAATTTTGGCACCCCAGAGGGGACTCTAGAAGAGCCCCTGTTCTGCATTCTTGGGGAAGCCTAGCACTCAAAACAACTGCAAACAGAGGATTAACTTTTGAGAACTGACTACTGGAAAGTTAGGAGATATGCCAGCATGTCTGGGATTGGACCTAACCAAAGGAGCTAATCCTTTAAGTAAAAGGAGGGACTCAGGGACTCCCAGCAGCTGCAGAAGCCCCTTTTGCTTCAGGAAACTCCCTCCTTCCTTCCCTGGACTGCAAGGATTGCTCCATCTCTATTAAAAAGAAGGGGACACTGAATGCAATAAAATCTCCACACTGAGACCCTTGATTTTACACTTCTGGTTGCCCCTCTGTGAGAACATCTGGTCTACTCATGGGGACATCTATAGTGCCACTGGTGTAGGAGTAATAATTAAATGGGAGTTAGAAACTTAGAGATTCCTCTCTTATCTGGTTTTAAAAATTCCTGTCTGTCAGCCATAGTCTGGTGCTCCCTTCTGTCTATCTGTCCTGTGTCTTTTTTTTTTTTTTTTTGGTATCTGTTTCAGGCCCTTTAAGACATGGGCAATAATGTGTTGATATCAACTGTGGAATTTTTAAACACTGCAATGGAGATCTCACCTTCGAAAAGCTACAAGGCCTTTACTGTGGTGTTATGTGTGCACACTTGTATTATGTGTTGTCAACAGATGAAAATAATGATATCTTTATGAAAATTGGCAGATATATAGAGCGTTCATGAAAAATTTTAAAAAATGGATCCAAATATCTTTGATTCACGTGATTTAAACGGTTCAATTTAAATTGGGTAAACAGATGAAAGTAAATATGTCTTTAAAATTAAGCTTATAAGTTTTTCCTAGGTGATCAAAAAAAAAACTAATAAAATGTTGATGTCTGAAATAATCTGCCTAAATTCAGAAATTTACAAAGTTTGTTTCAAAATGTGAACAGAAAAGGAGGTTAACAGATGGAAAAAAGAAATTAGAAGGTTCTAGGTATGGATTTAATAGAAGAAAAATGTGTTTCTGGATAAGAGAGTCTATGTAATTAAGTAAATAAGAGGGTTTAAGTAAGTGACAAAGCAGGTCTGTGTACATTGGCTATATAGGTTTAAGTAAATGATAAAGGTCTGTGTAAGTTGATTATATATGTAAGTTTTTTGAGAAGTAATCTTAAAGAAATTAAAAATTTTACAACTATGGTTAAACAACAACTGTTATTTTGCAATATTGTAATATGTTATTTCTTTAAGAGCTAAACTTGGTTAATATAAAAACATTAATGTGATTGTTGTGCTATTAAATGTGTTCATATCTTCCAGGTATACAAGTCTGTAAGGTAGAAGCTTTAAAAGAGCATTATATCAAGCTAGTGTTCTAAAGTTGTATGGTAATTTTAGGCTTAAATGAAAAACACATTGGAGATTTATTTATATCATTTGATGTTCTAAAACTGGACCTGTTATCAATAGGATGTGCAAAGTTTTATGTTACTTTTTACACTGAGGTACAATTTAAGTATATTTTTAAGTTAATGAGAGCCTAATCCGTGTAAAGGTTAATATTGTAAAACACAAAAGTACTTTGCTACTTTTCTACAAAAGGTTAAAAGCTTTTAGCCTTTAATTCATGTTTTAGATGTGATATCATATTGTGTTAGCTGATATTTATGTGAACTTGAGCAACAATTTATGTAAGCTTTGTAAAATGATGTTTAAAAAGCAAAGATCAGCTTCAGAACTAGAGCACTTTACTTAATTATGAAGAGCCCTGCCTTACCTGAGGTAAGGCTCTGTGTCCCATCTTAGTACATGTGAGAATGACTACAAAAGAAGTAGGCCAGATTTCAGTACATTTAAAATTGTGACCAAAAGTTAGTTTTTGTCAAGAGTACTA